ACCTACGTCATACATTTAAGTAAATACAGTAACACAAAAAATAGATATTGATAAAATAGTTTATAAAATAATTCCGTAAGTACGCCTGGCAACATTGTCAAAGTGTTGTTTATATGTTGCTATGATACACGTAGGAATGCGGGCCGCTGTATTTGATTCTTCTTAAAATTCTGCTGGTGGTGTACTGTATCGGCAATTCGAAAATATAAGTATAAGAATATTTTCTACTAGTGAACAAAAGTAGAATAAGATGTTCGTGGTAAGAATTAGCAGCCGGCGAAAAGATCCATTTTAATCTTGCTTAACCACAAAATTAGAAAATATCTAGATTGTGGCTTGATGTACATATAAAGTTGGTGACCTAAAATTCATGGCCAACTTAAAAAGTGCAAGCTCTGCCACTTGTTCCTCCTCTCGATCTACACTGGTTATGCTCTAGATTGAAGTCGTTATCGTAAATTATATAAACTTTTAAATCCACGTTTTTTTTAATCCTGTGGGAGTCTTCATTTACTTTAAATAACGTTAATAATTTTATATTTCCCTTTTTAGTCTTCATAAATGTTTACAAGCCACGTGACCACTGAGCTTATGCAACCAACAGTGCAGGGCTTTACCGAAATTTTATTGCCTACGAGAAGGAAATAAAATTATTATTCCAACAAAATTACTGGTCACGTGGCTTGTAATCATTTATGACTCTGTATGTATATTTTATGCATTTGTTTATGTATTTTAGAAAATGGGAGCTACTTGAAAAGGGGGTATATTAATTAATATCAAACATTAACGGCCGCGACAAAGACAGAGATCAAATAAGAATTAAAAAGTTCAAATAACGAGCGTTCAAATAAAAACGTGGTCAAGTTGGTTCTGAAAATTTGGACGTAGGGCGTAGCGTATAGCAAATGAACTTAAACGTCATCAGTCAAAGCGCTATATCGCCGCTATCAATTTGAATATTTTCGTTTTAAAAAGCGTTTAAAATGGTGTTTTCTCAAGAACAAAAAGTGTTTATCATAGAGTCCTACTTTAGAAATGGACGCAAGATTGATGGAATATGGAAGTATTCTATTGAGGAATGTTTCATAGAATTTCAAAATCAATTTCCCGGCGTTGTTGAGTACAAAATTTTTCAAAGTGCAGTTCAGCGTTGTGTTAATGTTTTTCGTGAAACGGGCAGTGTAACAAGAAAAGAAGGAAGCGGCCGACCTAAAAAGCGGACTGAAGAATTAAAAGAAAATGTCCAACAAATAATGGAAAATGCGCCAAGAACTTCTGTACGTGTTTTATCACAAATGGTGGGAGTATCAGTCGGTACCTGCCACACAGTGTTAAAAAAAGATTTGCGTTTGTTCTCCTATCGTTTAACTTGTCAGCAAGAACTTCATGAAGTTGATTTTCCGCGACGGGCTGTATTTTGTGAATGGTTTTTAAACAACTACGGTGAACTTCATAATATCACCTTTTTTTCTGATGAAGCCTGGTTTCATTTAAGTGGTTACGTAAACTCACAGAATATGAGAATGTGGTCTTCTGAAAAACCAGATAACTTTTTTGTCGAGGGCCCTCTACACGCTCAAAAAATTGGAGTTTGGTGTGCTCTCAATCGAAGGAGGATTTATGGACCTATTTTTTTTAATGGTACTCTTACTGCGCAAAGGTATAGAGAAGAAATTATCGCTCCTTTTGTTAACCAGCTGGAAGAAAACGAAATTACAAACTTTTACTTTCAACAAGATGGCGCAAGGGCACATACGGCAGGCGAGACGATGAATATGTTGAGGGAAGTTTTCCAAAATCGACTAATAAGTCTCAATGCTGAACATGAATTTCCACCGAGGTCATGTGATATTACGCCGTGTGATTTCTTTTTGTGGCCTTACCTTAAAAACACTATTTTTGAACTGCCTATTCCTGATTTAAACCATCTGCAGGCTCGACTTATAGACAAGATTCGTGAAATTAACAATACCCCGAGCATCTTAGAAAATGTCTTTAATTCTTTGAGGAACAGGTGTGAAAAGTGCTTGGAACAAGGAGGGGGACACTTTCAGCAGCTGCTTTAATTTATTGTTATAACAAGGAGGGGGACACTTTCCGCAGCTCCTTTAATTGTTTGTTATTGTTATCACGATTATTCTTTAAAATAAAGTTATATAGTCATTAACGTTATTGAAACTGACAGCTGCTATACAGCTCGTTGAGAAATGAGGTTAAGTTGGTCGCTATAAGCTGCTCCCTACGTCCAATGTGTCAGAGCCAACTTCGACCACGTTTTTATTTGAACGCTCGTTATAAAATCATAAAATTAACATCAACTTTATATATTTCCAATCATTAAATTTTTAGGTTAGGTAAAATTTTAAATTCCATGACTGACGCTGTCAACATATTCTGTTCGAAAACAGTTCATAGATTTGATCTCAGATTTAAGTTTCCGACATCCCTTCATTAATGTGATATAGTTTCTTTCTACATATAGTCTACAATAATCGTTTTATTTTGCCTTTCTGATTTGAAATCATAATTAGGAAATAATTAATAAGCTGATTAGATACCTCTATTTAGGATTATTTACTTTTTCTTTTTTACCTTTCTACCTAGGAAGAAATGGTAGCGACAGAGTTATAGAACATTTTCTTGGGATTTCAAAAAATATTGAAAGTTGCATTTAAAACCCATGTTTCTTTAAATAGAAAGCACTCTACATTTTTACATATTTGGATGGAACGCTTTGTCAAGACTTCGGTAACATAAGATTTGATAAATTTATCTCTAATATTAATGAAGTATTGGCCAAAGAGTGGCCAAATCAGTTGCGTTTTATAAAAGTCATTTGCTTTATTCGAATTAAAAAACGAAACACTGTACAACAGATTTATCTATAATTAACTAATTAGATTTAACATAACCATTTCCAATTTTAGAATATCTGTTAGGTGAAAAAATAAATAAATTTCCAAAACAAATTTATATTTTTTTATTTAAAAAAGATTACACAGCTCCACAAAAAAAAAATCGAAACAAAATTAGGTACTTCTGGTCTCTGACTATATCTACCATGTGTTTTCTAGGTCGCTGAATCCGAATCCATTTAACTCCATCACGTCAAGAATTTTTATAACCTCAAATAATAGGCCCAAATACCCAATAAATCTTCTATCCATTGGCCACTCAAGTCCTATAACCCTATAACCCCAACACGCTTTAATCCTATAACCCCATAACCATTTAACCTCGTAACCTCGAAACCCCATAACCCCGACACCCATAACCCGGTAAGAAAGAAACTTATGCCTTGAAACACAGTATGTTCGAGGCCTACGTGCTTCTTGAGTCTTAAACACATATTCCTCAGTAATCCCATAACCCTGTAGCCTCATAACCTCAAAACCCAGGCAAGAATAGACTTATGGACGAACTCTCATGAATCGAAACTTCGCAGATAAACCTTTTTGCGCAACTGGGGATCCGACCTCCTGTATAGTAATTTTTTGACATGTGGTTGCCATGAACACCGTTATCCAGGATCTCTGCCGAATGAAGGATCAACTCCGTTGTTGTCCGGCCACCGTCACCACGTCGAGGTGCCCTGAATTGCAAACACACGAATAAGGGTACAACAACGATGTACGAAGTTTCGATTCATGAATTTCGTGCAGAAGTCTACTCTTGACTGGGTTTTGAAGTTATGAGGCTATGGGGTTATGGGATTATAGGAGTTGAGTAGATCGAGGATTTATTAGGTTTTTGAGCCTATTTTTTGAGTTTTTGAAGAATCCTGGCATGATGGGGTTAAATGGATTCGTATTCAGTTTCAGCGACCCCGAAAACATATGGTAGATATAGTCAGACCCCAGAAGTTTCGATTTTTTTGTGGAGTTGTGTTATTTTATATTAGCCTACCAAACTTCCAATTAAACTTTGGTTATTAAACCAGTTAAACCAGTTAGCTATAAAAGTTTAATTTCTGTATAGTTTACCACTTTAATCGGTTCAATAGTAAAAAAGTTTATTAAAAAATTACCTCATCCACGTGGCCAAGTTGTGTCCTCCCCTGAGAGCTTGTGCATGATGTCTGTAGGTACAATGAGTAGTGTAAACTTTATTAGTAGATATTGTTTCCTGTTGTTATTGTTAGATCAGATTTATAATATAATCTATGCATATAGTTACAAAGCGCAATATTCTGTTTGATTCTAATAAAAATGGATGTAAACCCTGTGGAAGATAGGCCGATACAAGTAATAATCGTCAAAAAAATAGTTTTATATAAGGACGGTAGTGTAGTTTCATAAATATTTAATAAAACTCAATTTAACAATCCTCTATTTATTTTTAATAACTCACTAAACTGTCGAAGACTGACAAGTAGTTTTAAACTGTACATTTAAGTAAATAATAAGGAAATAAGTAAATAATAGGTTCTGAAAATACAAATTATTAAAATTAATTTTTACCAAAAATTAAACGTTTGTATGAAGATATTGTATGTGCTGCTCTATTGATAGATTTCAACACTATGTACCTCCTCAACTTGAATTATAAACTTATAGTTAGATAAGTTATTTCATTACCAGTTTAATTAAATTTCCGAAGGTACATAATTTTGAGACTTATGAACTTATTGTTACTTTTCACACTATACAGTTCTAGTCAATATCCAAAACTAGGATTAGTTCATGGCAAACGATATTTACTTAGTCCAAATGAATACATTTTTCAGTGTAAAAATATTCTAGTATTCTTAGAAAAAAAAACACATATTCGGCTGGTTTTCCACAAACGCAACATTTTGAATCACAAGCAAATTTCTTACAACTTTGGCAATGCTTTGTGAATAGCCCTTTACAATTCTGAATCCTAATTCTGAAGTCACAGTCTAAAAAAAATTTCTGAGGAAACAACTAAATAATAATGAATTCATGACGATAAAAAAAATCAACAACAAATAATTGCTGACTAATATAAAAACTAATAGATATCTTCTTTTCTAGGTGAAAAACCCTTCAAGTGTGAATACGAAGGTTGTGATCGGCGTTTTGCTAATTCTTCTGATCGAAAGAAACATTCCCATGTTCACACCTCCGACAAACCTTACAACTGTCGTGTTTCTGGTTGTGATAAATCGTACACTCATCCGTCATCCTTGAGAAAGCATATGAAAGTGCACGGTTGCTCAGGAAGATCACCACCCCATTACGATAGTGATGGAGAGGAGTCAAACTCTTCTTCTGCCGGTAGCATTTCGGTCGCCGCTAGTCCTCACGTATCTGGACCACAAGTACCTGGTGCTACTGCCCTCAGTGAGTGGTATGTTGCATGTCAACCTACGCCCCCTACATCTGACCCTTTGGGGGGCTTGGGCCCCTTTGGTAGTATACATCATAGCGGAGCGGCTACAGCTTATTGACTGTAATTATACTATTGTGAATCATTTATTCGAAATTGCAAATTTTAGCAACATTTCTTGCATTCGTAAGAATCTATTTTTCAGTAACAAAACAAATAAGACATGAAGAACAAACTCCTACATTTTTACCCGGCAATTGATTAATACTAGTAATTAAATGACAGTAATGATTACAAGTTTTGATTTCCGAAGAGAAAACTTAAGAATAATACAGTCGTTTTAGTATGCTTTCCATTGGCTATTGTATTTCAAAATTGCATAATAGAAATTATATGAAAATTTTTAATTCACTTTGTCTTTATCGTTAGTATTACTTTGTATTTAAGACTAGTCACTTTTAATGTAATAAGTTATACAGGGTGTTCCACAAATGGTTGGAAAAACAAAACTTCTACCCCGACTGGCTCTTTTTTTTATTGAAAAGTTTTCTATTGAACATATTATTTTTTCCAACCGATTCCGGGACACTGTGTGTATAAAATTTTATTTCTTTAGGGTGTTTCAAAATAATGTACCATAAATTCAGAAGCTGATATAATATCAAAAAATAAGACCAGTTTTTCCTAGGGACCATGAGCCTATTGTTCTTTATTTTTGAGATATAGAGCACGAAAGATGATTTCTTTAAATTAAATTTTAGCTATATCTGCTGTAAAAAAACAATATATTACATTGAAATTGGGTACAAGTAGTATTTGGTGGTGTTAAAAACGCCATTATTTGTTCTGTTAGAGGTCGAGTAGCATAACCCATTCTAAGTTGATTTGTTGTATTTTTCTACTATAATTTCATTTTAAACAATACATACTTGTTAAAATCGCTGAAAACGCGTTATAAGAAAAAAAAAGCAATGTAATGCAAAATTCCTAGAAACTCCCTAGGAAAAATCGAATATTTTTTGATATTATCATCTGAATTTATGATCAGTTATTTCAAAACACCTTGTATTTTTAGTAATCCTGGAAAAAATATTTCATCTTAACCTTTCGCTATCATATATTACTACTAACCAAAAGTACACTGTTGTGTTTAAGTTTACCTAGCAAATTATGTTTAAAAAACAGAACAGTAATGTTGGAATATTTTTTCAGATTCTCTGTCTAAGAAGTGTAACCATTTTGAAAATTATTTTCATATGGCACAAGAAACAGTATGAATGGGAAGGACAAAATGTATGTTAGGAATATTTTATAATAAAGTTGACTGACCTAAGATTTATTTTTATTTATTTTTATTAAGAATATGTTGCTAAACATTTGTATTTGTAAATCTTGTCTGTAAATATATTTAAATTAAAAATATTTTTATTTCCTGTGCAATTTTATTTCATTTGCTTGTATACTATAACGAAACTTGAAGAACATGTCTTCACTGTGTAATTAATATAACTATTGAGATAGTTGCTGTAAATTTGTATAAATTATAATTATTGATATGTAGGACCACAACTGTATAAAGAAATGTACTGTAAATATTGTCTTATCAGGGATCTCTGTATATCTATATGATTATAAAAATTATTACCTTGAAATTATTAAAAATCTTTTGACTGATATATATATAGTTGTTTTATTTTTTACTTTTATTAATTTTAAATATATATAAAATTCGAAATTACCTATAAATAAAATTTTAGGAAATAGTCATCTTTCCTAGCTATTAAAAATATCCACTGGTATGCTTAAACATACTTGTGGTTTTCAGAAAGGTAATAATTATAATATTAAATTTTATTTAATAAAAATTTATTTAAATTTTATTAATGAATATTTTTCAGTAATACTGAAAAATATAAAGTTGCAGTTTTTCGAAATTTTTGGTGCCCAAAAACTATTTAAAAAATCGCAGTTCAAAAAATTATGGCGTATGAACTCGCCTCTATTGTAGCGACCAATAAAAAAAGTATCTCTAAGAAGTCATTACTAGGGAAATTCATTGAAAATTATTTATTATTTTCAAAATTTCGCGTCCGTGTGTCATATACGATAATTAGGCGCTAAAAAAATATCTGTTATACAATTTTTACTTCGTCATATGAAAATTATTTTTAGCCGTTAATAGATAGGCCTTAACTAAAGTCAACCACCTAGTTACCAATAAGTTATTTACTTACCATTAGTGAAAAAATGCTAGAAAAAAATGTATTCTCTGGTTCTAGTAAAGCAATGTAAGCGAGATATTTGATTATCTTAGCAAAACTTCCTTATTGGTCGATTTCCAAATAAATCACAAAATCAAATACACACGGTTTTAAGCAAATAAGTCACGAGAATTTATTATCATACTATAAATATTTCGATATGGATTGCGTAAATACCATTTTCTATTTATTTTATTTTTTGGTGCTTGTTTAATTCTTCAAAAGTTTAAACACATTCACTAAATGGCCATTTATGAACCTCAAACTGCCTCTTTGTTCAATGCAAGCAATGTTAATAACAAGTTCTCAACCAAATAAAATTTCTCTTTAGCAGGTTTTTAACAGAAAACTACTTCATAAATTCAGACGATTTTATTCAGCTGAAAACTCGTAATTGAAGTAGGTACTTGCATTTGAACAAAGAGGCAGTTCTGATGGGTTAATGATATATTTATAAATCCCCATTTGAGTTTTATAGAATTAAAGAAGGTATCATTTTGTCAAACACCAAAAAGTTAAGAATTTTTTTTCTATTTATGCTGAAATATTTATAAAAAATGTAAAAATATCCAACGAAAAAGTACATCTGTGGAATTTTCTTTATTTTTGTACATTTGTCTCATAGATTTGTCTCACAGATTTGTCTCACAGATTTGTCTCACAGATAAAGCGTCAAGATTTCCAAACCGGCTAACAATGGCGGTTGCTATCTGTAAGGTTCAGATATAAGGGACGTCGGTAATGTTACTCCAATTATATCAGGCTAATTCTAAACTTTCTACTTAAAACATACATTTACCTACATTGAAAACATTATTCACATTTGAATTATGAATAAGCAAACACATTTATTTTTTAAATGAACTGTGACCTACACTTTAAAAAAATCGGTGTGAGTGAAAGCAATAAAGGTACGGAGGGAATCCATTGATTGAATTGAGTACATTTTCACTCAATATTGAGCATTTTGATAATTTTACTTATTTGTGATAATATTTGAACTATAACTGAGTATTTTCACTCAAATATATACCAGTAAAAAAACCGGCCACCCTAAAATATTTCACAAAAGTCCCCTTATCTGCTTAGTTTATAAGCTAGTTAGTAACCTAAGCTAGTTTTTTTTCATTATCAATGTTTTAAGATGATTGTTCCACATAAGCCTACTTTTAATTTTACAAGCCGAAATTTCCTTTTCAACGATATTAATATGCTTGCGTAAATCACACAGCAGCAGGCTATGCATCATTTCTTATCATTAATGTTCTCTAAAAGGCAAGTAGGCTTATGCACATTGTTTTTGGAATGAAGTGTGATAGTCAATGAAAGTTTTCACCCGATAACAATGCCGTTAACTGTTGCTGACGCTTCTCAAGTTGTTGCATTGATTGAAGATGGACGTAGCCAGCGTTGAATCTCGTTCATTGGAAATATCTCGTACTACCGTTCAGGATGCGTGGTATCGGTATCTGGAGACTGGTAGAGGCACGAGATGATCAAGATCTGGAAGAAATAGAGTAACAACGGCGTTTGATGATCATTTCGTTGTGCTCAAGGGGTCACAGGTCAACAGCAGTTCAACTTCAGCATCGTCTTCTAACAGTGCGAGGGGTTCAAGTAAATGAGTGGACGATTAGGAGGAGGCTTGTAGAAAATGGTTTATCTTTACGGAGGCCACAATTTCTACTTAAGCATCGAAGGGCACATCTTCAGTTTACGCGATTACATATAAATTGGATTCCTCGACAATGGAGTGAAGTTTTTTTTACTGACGAGTCTCGTTTTTGTCTGCGATCACTTGATGGTCGGGAAAGATTGTGAAGAAGGCAAAATGAACGATATTTAGACTGCACTATTTTTGAACGAGTATCTTTAAAGGAGGTTCTGTTATGGTGTGGGCGAGCATTTCTACGGAAGGACGTACCTACCCCATATTTGTGGATACTGGAGCTTTGAACGCCCCTGTCGTTCCATTTCCGTATTTTATTGGAGATGGCTTCGCTTTAATGCAGGATAACGCCGGACCACACACTACACGAATCGTAACTGAATACTTAAACGAGGACGGTATTCGTATAATTGATTGACCCGCATACAGCCCGGACCTTAACCCAATTGAACATCTTTGGGATGAATCAGAGGGCTATTCGTCGTCGACCAGTCAAGCCACAGACTCTTCAAGAGCTAAAACTGTTCCTTCAAGAAGAATATGAAGCAATTAACAAATTAACATAGTAACTTTGAGTAATAAAAATAAATTATCTAAATTATCTGTACCTGCGTATATTATCAAAATATGACTGCATTGAATAGTATAACGTCTCCACTTTCTTTACAAAAATTAAAATTAAAAAAAAAATTGCAAAATACACTATTAAGTACATTAACCACCACCAAATACCTACCAAATAATAACAAAAATTTAAAGGCACTGGACCTATTTTTTCGTTAAAGTTGTAATAACTATTATAATAATTATAGTTTTATTACCTACATAAATTTAAAAGCTTTTGTGGACTTCTTGTAAATAGCTACATAGTTAATTATTTTAACCTGCCAAAAATTTTTAATTGTTCGTATTTAGGTATCATATTTATTTAATTATACTATAAAAAGTTGCGGTTTTGGGTGATTAGAGGTCAGTAATAAATATTAAATGGTCAAAATATTCACTATATTCAAATTTATATAATTTTTCCTCTTAAATTAAAATTTTATAAATATGAGACATCAGAGGCATACAGTTTTTTTAATTTAACAACTTCTGAAGTATGAGTTTATGTATGTATGAGAATTTAGATTTAACATTTCCTTAGTTCTTTTTCTTTAGTGGCAGGTGTCGGATACATCTTAATTTTAA